AAGAGCACCGAAGAGCTCCCTACAGCCCCATCCCCTTACATGCTCTCAGTGCCACATGCAGGACAGAGGGACAGGAACATCAACAGGGTCTTTAATGCATGGCTCAGAAGATAAATTTTTTAAAAAAAAGACATTAATTAGGGAACTTCAGAAACTTGTGTACAAGGATGAACCAATAAAAAACACGGACTGGATGTCAGTAATTCCATACATGACATCACCCTCAGCCATTACACGTGTGACAATACAACACTGGCAGCGCAACCTTGCTTCACCTAAGAACAAAATTATGTTGGAATTTTAACCCAAAGCGTAGATGTAAACTGAAAGCTGTCAGTAAGCACCCAATCTGGGACAATGCACCTAATAGGAGGAGTCACAAGACCTGCATCTTCAAACAAGGAATAGGTTGGAGGCAAGAAGACTGTTGGAGATGGAGTATTGGGTGAGTTTCTTCTTGATTCGAGGGGTTGAAGCCTGAATTAGTTTCTGTATTGCTGAAACTGCCAAGTGCAGAGGATCCCTACTCAAACACAGGGCAAAAAAAAGAAAAACTGAAGTCTTGGCCACCTGAGGTAGGAGCTGGGGATGCTTAGGGTTTACATGAGAAAGTTGGTGGGAGGAAGGTAATTAGTGGAGGATGGTGATCAGTGCAGGAAGGAGGAGCAGTTCCAGTGCTGGACGTCTGGTGCTGTGTGGTGAAGGCAGCTCCTCTGGACACTCCGCAGCTTTTCTTTACTCCTTTTGGGGAAGGACCTGTTGGGAATGGCCCGGGAGGGCAGGACAGAGCTGTGGAGCTGCTGGGACGTGATAAGCACGCAAAGAAACACTACAGGGCGACCTTGCTTCACCTGCTCAGTAATTACCTACAACTCACTCCCAGCATCCAGTCTCCCTGTCTCCTCTTCCAGTGGTAGAAAGTGTGTGACTGTGCACACTTTCATTTCTGCATCTCTACTGTCTGCACGGGCTTTCCAAAAATAAGGTTCCAGCCAGTGCTAAAGCCTGCTCCAAGCTTCCCAGGCAGCACTGCCTGACTTGTTGCTGTAAAACCCTGGCACTTCATCTAAGATACAGTGGGGTCAGGGCTGAAGGGCACTAATGGGTGTTAACAGCCCACCCCCAGCTCTGCCAACCAAGCCCCCTCGGCTTCTGGCTCATGCCCTGCTCCTGCTTCTCCCTGAAACGGTGGGTGTGTGTCTTGAGGTTTTACTTCACACAGTAAAGTGTGAAAATCCTCTGCAAGTGACAGTGATTTAATCAATTTAATCTCACCCCGGAAGACATTGATCCTGCCTGGACTTCCCATTCC